GTAGTAGTCGTCGTCGTCGTCGTCAACTATTGCTACTTACTACTCCTGATCTGATCCTGCTCCTCCGTCCTACTCGAGAGCTACTACTAGTACTTGCACTCGCACTTGTAACAATAACCATGCTCCTACTCCTTTCCTACTGCTATGGCCACTACTACCACTACTACTNNCTACTACCACCACCACTACTACGACGATGACACCTACTACCACTGCGACTATTACTACTGCTCCTGCTTCTGCAGGCTGCTGTTGAGACGACTACTGCTGCCAGTGCTACTGCTACTTCCACTGCGACCACTAGTACTATGAAGCACGAAAGTGCGCAACAGCAGCTTTGTAAGCCAATGCTCTTGTCCAGTGTACCCTAGTCATGGGCGAGATCGAAATTCTGAATGTCCTTGAGTAAGTCGCCTATGCTAGTCGAAGTTACTGCCCCTCTGTGCGACGAGTCATCCAAAACAAGAGCCTACCAATTGTTTTACTGTCGCGGCTGCCTTTGTCGCTACTTCTGCTGCGGACATGCGGTTACAGTTGTGAAGCTGGCATTGCAATAAATGCTGGTCTATGTGCAGTTACAAGGGCTGTGCGGCTTATCAAGCATTCTAAGGAACGAGTCAGCTGTTCTGGCACTCAGTGGCGAGCCTCCACGGCAGCTGTCACTTCACAGAATCACACCCGCCCACTCCGAGTAGACTTGGTGCGAGCGATGGGGTGTCATGGCGAGTGCCCTCCGTGCGGTGAACTTCCTGGAGGGCTTATCCTACCCGCATCACCCTGTGTTCATGCAGCCGTTCGACTTCATTGTAAGCTTGAGCTCAAGAGCTGCTGAGCCTTTGCAGGCTTGTCTGTGTTTGATTCAGGTTCCCCAGCTTGTCCTACCCGGTCACCGAAGACTTCTTGGTGGAGCTGGGCGGCTTGCAAGTTCCAATTCATCTGGACTGTGACCGGAACCGTTCGGCCCACTGGAACGTGCTTGGGCTCGGGATTTCTTGTGGTATGTGTAGAGGACTTGTCATGAACCTTCATTTGTCAGTAACTCTGTTGCCTGCCTTGTCGAAGAAGTGTCAGCACCTCGAGGAATATGGATGTATGAACTACTTCTACGCATCGCCTGGCAGGTGGACGAACTGCTATTTGCACGAGGCACTTCCGCAGCACAATCTGACTCGCCTTACATGTTCACGAGGCGTCCTCTAGATGATATAGGAGACGCTCAAATAGAAAGTAAGAATCTAAAAGAGACGTGCCCCCAGGCCTACGTGCATGGCGGGATGCCTTATATGGAGCCATCCTTGCCGATCATCGACGAAGAGTATAGCGAGCACGTGGCAGTTTATCAAGCTGTGCCTGGGCATTTGAGTCATAGCGAATGCTGATGTCTAGACACACGGCAGCATCACATCAAGCCTAGCGCACCGGCTAGCAGTTGCAAGGCGACAGAAATCTTTCGGTCCAAGTTTCCTTAGACCTTTTCCGCAGGCTTAAAACCCAAACAACAAGAACTCTTTTATTGTCAGAAAACCTGTAGACTCACGGAAGTTTATAGAACAATCGGTTCTCTACTGCACCCTAAATCGTAGGATCCTTATCGTTGAGGACTCTTAAGCAAGGTATCTGTGCATTTTTCCGAACCCCTTGAATCTCGCAGCCCCTTCTAAGATCCTGCGAGCGCGGGGTTCTTACGTGATGGCAGAACTGGGCGCTCGCTGGGGGACCTGGGGGGCACGTGCTGCTGCAGCACTCGCGACGCTGAATCCCATGCCGGGCATTGTGAGAAAGGGATCTTAGGGAAAAGTGGTTGTGAGTTCTTGAAAAACTCCGCGTTCGCCACTTTCCACTGATAAGACGAGATTCATGTTAACCTTGTAAGATGCGGACTTAACTTTCTCGTTCGTGAATCTTGCACTGCTGCAGCATGCCCGTAGGAGCAGAAGAACGTCTACCAGACGTAGGCAAAGTTTCGAATTTCAAGGCTTGCCCGCGGATTTTGCCCTGCAGGCCATACGTCCTGCACTTCGTGGAGTCTGACGCCACATATTGTCGAGAACTGTCAAACGTGATGGCCCTCAACAATTTCAGTTATTCCCTGGATTGTGACAAGGCTTCGCCTGAAGGCTTGGCCAAGTGGATCCTGAGCCAGGATCTTAGTGTCTTGTTTGATAGGTCCGATGCGCCGATGGGTCCAATCAGGGAAGTTCAACTCCAATCAGAAGAGTTAAGCAGGGATTGTAGCTGTACCTTATAATCCTTAGAATGAAGCCACAAAGAATACCGAAGGTCAGGATCATGTTGACCTACTGGACCTGGATGTGCAGGGGGCGGAGAAGGATCTCATGAGCGACCCAGCTCTGCTTGAGGCCATTGTGGGCACTGCAAACACAAGATGCAAGAACCTATCAAAATAGATGCCATACATCCGTATACCCGAGCACATCACAACATTCATGCGCTCCTGACTTCGAATGAATGTCAAGTGAGGTTCATACCCCAAACCGCAAGCTTTCGAGGCCATTGCCAGCAAGGTGTATCGCTTGGTGGTTGGCACACATTCGCCCGAGATCCACGCCGAGATCGTCGCAAGGTTTGGATCGTGGATTGTGATTTACAACATGCCATATGCTCCGGACAAGCAACCAGGTAGGCCAATGTGATTCCTTGTCTTCTTCGTTTATCGAGGCTGGTTCAAAATATGAGAGCTTCTTTCCAACACTTTCAAGTGTTTTCAGAAGCCAAACTAGGCAGTGCATTCGCCAGTTTCTGCGGGGAGCTCACGGCGAAGCGGGAGTGGACGTGGCACATGTCCGGCAGATCTTGGAAAGAGGCTGTTTCAATTGGAGCCCCTGGGGTCGGATTCCGAATTGGGACGGCGAGCTCATCGTCGACAACCCGCGCTTTGTGGCTGCCACCAGGCACTTCTCTATGTCCGACCAAGAACTCATTGCAGACGAGCTCTTGGAATAGAACTCTGCAGAACCAAGTGGCGAGGCCTCATCCAGCCAGCGGCGGTTGTTCGAGTTCCGCAAGGCAGCGTGCAAAAATGCTTGGAAGATCATTTTCAAAAACAGATACAGTGATGAAGTACGAACTGATTCTTGGGTCTGGGATGCAGCCTGAGGGTTTATGGGCAGACCCAATCTGGGTGTCGGAAAGTTTCAGTCGGTAATTGGGAATAGAGCATTAGTGTTGCATTCCCGAACTGTCGTTGCCTGGTTTTCAATATCGACCGGATCCCGTCCGTGTAGACTGTGATGTCGCAGGCAGGCTTTACCCATATTGGTCTAAGCAACTCGTTTCGTGTTGAGTCGCTTGCACACCGCAGACACCACAGTGGTGCATCCAAGCTCGTTCTCAGAGGTTGAAGAATAGCTATCAGCACGGATATGTGGTTTTCGAGCTGGAAGTAAGTGCTGTCGCTCCGGGAGCGCAGCAAGGGAAGCTATGTTCACACTGAGAAATACAGTAGTGGTTTTTTTTGCACTCGAACATGTCCGAAAACCAGTTCCTGGAAGGTCGCATCTGTTTTCTCTCTGTCTCTCTCTCTCTTGCTTGCTTTGTCCCTTTCTTTCCGCAGGCTTAAGAATGACTGGTGCGGTTTCCTTCGCTTTCTTTCGCAAGGGAGCGACCCTCGCCCCAGTACTCCAGGCGCCGCCCCTTGTGTGGGGCCGTGTTGAAGCAAACCTCTGTCGTGTCTGCTGCATCCACAAGCCAAAGACCTCATGGAGCCTCCTGTGACAGTCACACTCCGTTTTGCCAGCTGCGGGGCATTCCCTGTAGGAAAATCCCAATGTGGGTACTATTCCGTAGAAGTCAAGTTCCGGCGGGACGAGTTGGTTCAAGTCCGTTCTCTCAGGGGCACCTAGCTGTGTGAAAGTGCGCGTTCCTGTCGGACACCAGATAAACAACTCGGAGAATGTCATTGGCATTGCCGCATAGACGAGAGCTACCAAATGACCTGAGTCTACAGACTGCAAGATCCCGACATGAATACATTTTGCATCCAGCGCCCCTTTTCCATGATTGAGCGACTAGGGCGGCGCTTCTGTCGACCGATCTACATTTGTATGTGTAGATTGTGGGAGCTCAAGGTATTTGAGGTATTTCCATAGCGGTGTTCATAATAAAGAAATGATTCGCAAATGCCGTAGGCATCTACGTGCTAACCCAGACCCATGAACATGCAGGTCTGTGGAAAACTTGTGATACCAGAATTAATCGTGCAAAGAGCTTGTTGAGGATCAGGGTTGTTAATATTATTCAAACCAACGATAACGATATGGGCGCTGACAATACTGATAAATATATTGATAAACGAGCGGTCGTTTATTATGATCTAATAATGCTTATTATTGATTTCAAGTCGACACAAGAATAGCAACCATAATATTATTAATAATGATCGTTTTATTATTGTATCCGTATATAATTCTAGAATAGAAAATATTATTTATTGAATATGAAAAAAATTTGTAATTTGCTCAAGAAATAAGTCTTTCTTATTTATTGATTTTAAATAATTTTTTGGTATCTTATAATTTGATTTTTTGATATAATTTTCTTTGAGAATCTCTAATAAATTTACTTCAAATATAACTTAGTAGTTTTTTTAATATTTATAATTTTAATATTTTTAAATAATCGTTTTAATTTGACGAGTCTTAAAATTCTTTAATTTTGTTATATAGTTTTGAAATATATATTATTTATTCTATATTTATTTTTCTTCTTGCTTTGAATTGATTAAGTCTGTATATATATAATATTTCTATTTAATTTCTAAATTTATAGATTCATTTCATAATATAATATGGTTGAATATATTTTATGCGCCGCTTTAGGAAATTTAGATTTTATAAATTTTTGTTTAAATAGTTAGGACCCAAAATTTCTAGAAATTATAGAAATTCGGGTTAGAGCTTTAGAAGGAGGGATCTCGATGGTCTCGGGCTAAACCCCAATTTCTAAATTTTTGCATTTATTTGGGGAGCTGGGTAGCTCGACCGCTTCGGTCACGGAATTTATAATTGAAATTTCTTTAAATTTTCTATCAGTTAAACGCAAAATCTGACCATCTAATTATCTATTTCTATTTATATTTTCTTTGATTCTTTCTCTCTATCTCTCTCTCTGATTCTCTCTTTCTATTTTTCTCTATATCTCTCTTTCTCTCGATTTCTCTTTCTATTTTTCTATTTATTTTTTAATTTATCTCTCTCTCTTTTTTTCTATCTTTTTCTCTCTTTCTATCTCTATTCAAATCGTTCTCTATTTCTTTCTCTCTCATTATCTCTCTCCTGTCTGTATTTCTTTATCTATCTATTTATCTTTCTGCGGTAATTTGTCGCATTCATATTCAGATCTTGGTTGGTATTTATTCCGACTAATGATATTTTGAAGGAAAACTATTTATGCGTGATGTGGTCTGTCGTGCGATGCGCGTAATTTGATGGTTGCCGTTGGCTCCTATGCAGCCAGATTATAGCCAACGACGAATTGTGCATATATTTATATTATTGCTGCCATTTCCGTGGCTTTACAAGATTTCTCATATCTTCCTTATTTTTCTGCGTATGGCTCCCTGGGTGTTCTCGGCCTGCTCCGGCGAAGGCCGCGCGCAGGGCGCGGACGGTGCCACTCCAAAAAACGCACTCCGGAAAACACGCTCCAGAAGACTCTAAACGCTTCATGACGGCCCTGTCGGCCTTCTCCGGCAAAAGCGGCCTCGGGGGGGATGCCACTCCGGAAGACACGCTCCGGAAGATTCTAAAGCATAACGGCCGTCTTGACCTGCTCCGGCGGAGGCCGCGCGCAGGGCGCAGGCGATGCCACTTTCCGAACACTCCGGAAGGCACGCTCCGGAAAACTTTAAACGCCTCATAACGGCTCTCTCGGCCTGTCCCGGCGGAGGCCGCGCGCATAGGGCGCGGTGCCATGCCGTCGGCGGTGGCCATACATGCACATGCACGTACGTGCACACACCCGCGCAACACACACACAGATACACACAGTTGCGCGTGCACATCATAAACGATCCAGCACTCACTTCTCTATTCTCAAATACTCCTTCATTCTCTAGCGGGATCTACATGTGGGGTTATCCGGTCCTTAAATTTATTTCTGAAAAACATTGAAATTATTTGTAATAAACAATTGCTGTGGTAAATTCCAAATAGATTTCTTAGAAATTCTCAATCAGAATACATCTAAAAACCAAATTATAAGATACCAAAAATTTATTTAAAATCAATTTTGGAAATATAACCAATGAATTGGAATAGAAAGGTTTTTTTTTTCATATCCAATAAAAAGTATTTCTTGAATTCGAATATTTTAGAATCATAAACGGATACAATAATGAACCGATCATTATTAATAAAGTCATCATTGCTGTTCTTGTGTCGACTTGAACTCAATAAAAAGACTACTAGATCATGATAAATGACCACTCGTTAAACCAATATTCATCAGTATTGTCAGCGCTCATATCGTTGTCGTGGGTTTGAATAAAATAAATTCCCTTGATGCTCAGCAACCTCTTTAAAGTCAGTCAGCGATATTTGGACATATGATCATATAAATTGAAGGCGACTAATGGCGCTGGAGGTGCCTGTGATTACTCATTTCGGTTTTATGGTATCCATACCAAAAAAAAACGCCAAGTTTGAAGTTGCAGGACGTTGCGACAAACTAGGCCGTTATGAGGCGAGAGGGCCGTTATGAGGTGTCTAAAGTTCTCCGGGGCGTGTCTTCCGGAGTGCGTTCTCCGGGGTGGCATCTTGCGCGCCTTGCGCGGGGCCTCCACTGGAGCCGGCCGCGAGGGCCGTTATGAGGCGTTTAATGTCTTCCGGGGCGTGTTTTCCGGCGTGTGTCTTCCGGAGCGGCACCGTCCGCGCCCTGCGCGCGGCCTCCGCCGGAGCAGGCCGAGCAGGCCGTTATGTGGCGGCTAGAGTGCTCCGGGGCGTAATTTCCGGAGTGTTTTTTCCGGAAAGGCACCCGCGCCCTGCGCGCGGCCTCCGCCGGAGC